CTGGTAGGTGCTGTATCATATCCACAAAGCTGACACTTGAGATAGTACCATACTGTATGTTCTCAATGGGGTTGAGATCTGGAGAGTATGGAGGCCAATCCAAAACGTTAACCTGATTGTCTTCCAACCACTGGCATGTCAATTTTGAGGTATGCTTAGGATCATTATCATGTTGGAAGATAACATCCTTCAGATCTATATCATAATCATGCAAGGTTCTGAAGAGATCATCTTGCAGAATCTTACAATATAGATCAGAATTCATACCACCATCGATCTTGGTAATGTAGCCAGGGCCCTCAGCAGTGATACAGCTCCATAGCATAATGCTACCACCACCATGCTTGACTGTAGGATTAACGTTATGATCGCGAAGAGGCTCTCCACCTTTCACCCAAGTCCAATGCTTCCCATCAGAACCTAAACGATTGATTTTAGTTTCGTCACTAAACACCACACATTTCCAATCATCCACAGTCCAATGCTGATACTTCTTTGCAAACTGTAGACGAAGCTTCCTGCGTCTTGGTGTTAATGGAAGTGCGTTTGGTTTAATGCGCGATTCAAAACCACATGCTGAAAGGTGATTTCGAATGGTTTGGGCGGAAATAAAAGTATTTTCTGCTGCAAGCTGTCTTGCAGCGTCAGCAGCAGTAGTGTAAACACCAGTGGCGAACTTGCGCAAGATGAGCCGCCCAAGATTAGTGCTGATTGCTGATGGGCGGCCATTGGCAGCATTAGACTGAATGTCTAATTGCTTAGCAATTCGTCCAATCGTCCGACGTGAAACGCCAAGAGCAGCTTCAATAGTCCGCTGGGACTCTCCACGTCCCAAACGTACTTCAATATTCTGAGCGGTGGTGGTGGGAATTGACTTCATGTTAGAATGGTTGCTAATTGCGAAAATCGTTGGTAATTGGTGAAGAGGATGGGGATGAATCACTTGATTTCGAAAGGGAAAAAAAGAGAAGGCCTTGTTTTGATAGCGTCCATGATTTTGAAGAATTTCGGACAGCAGCCACTTAGGAAATTCGCGCCTGCCAATTTCTCATACAACTCAAAAAAGTAGGGCAATGACATATAAAATCAAATCGCCCATAACTTTACAACCAGACATGGGAACAATATGAGTAAAGATTCATTCGAAAGGTAATTAGAAGGGCTTTTATTTAAAAAAAAGAAAACCGTACTTTATTATATAGGAAATTACGAAATTCAATAAAACGCACATTTTTTTGCAAACATTGCTCCACTTTTTTGAGTCACTGTATGGACAAGCCTTTCCGTATTGAAACAGATGCATCCGACTTCGATGTAGGTGCCATATTTTTACAAGAGAACGACGACAACATATGGTACCTGTTAGCATATGAATCGAAGAAGCTGTCTTCTACGGAACGAGCATATCCTGCACAAGAGCGAGAACTCCTGAGTATTCTACACGCGCTTCGAACATGGCGCTGCCTCATTGATGGCCGTGAATATACTGTTTATACTGATCACTTACCATTGCGATATTTCCGAACACAACTGAAACCCACTCCTCGTCTCATACACTGGATGGCCGAACTAGAACTGTATGATCCCAATATCCAATATAAGCCGGGTCGTGAGAACTGTGTACCAGACCTTTTATCACGACGAGATGGCCCCGAAACCGTTGCTGCTGAGGAAACACTTGAATCGGAGTTCTTATACAGCATGCCCTCTACAGAATTACAGTACCATATGATTGGCCTCGCTACTACAATAGACCCGAATCCATCTGGCTAGAAGATATCCACAAACATCTCACGAAGCACAAAGACTACTTTGAAGCTCAAGGAGACAATATATTTTGAAAGGCCAAGGTGGATGGTAAGACTAAGCTCATACAATATGCCATGTTTAGCCGCCGCGCCGATTTGGTTGAAAATGTTCACAAGGGTTTTGGACATGCGGAAATCTCACAGTATACGATATTTTGAAGAAACATTGGTGGTGGCCCAAGATGAAAGACGATATTCACGAATGGTAGTCCAAATGCCCTCAGTGCCAGCTCGCTGCACCTGCAGATCGAAACAAACATTATGGCCCCATGCAACCCCTGGATGTGCCACTAGCTTTTTCCTGTTGGCACCTTGATTTCATTAGTGAACTTCTCCGAACTGCTTAAGGCAACCGATGGATTCTAGTCGCAGTTGACTATTCGACAAACTGGCCCATCGCTTGCGCAGTCTCCGATGCTACCAGTCAAGCTATTGCTCAATTCATCTATGAACAAATCGTCATGCATTTTGGATGCTCCGATGAAATATTGACTGACTGTGGTGCCAATTTTATATCTAATGTCCTGTATGAATATATCAAGAAAATCAAGTCTCACCACAAGTTTACATCTGCCTTCCATCCTCGAACAAACAGTAAATGTGAACGACTTAATGGTGTCATCAAACAAATGCTTCACAAATACGTCAATGGCGCAATCACCACTTGGGACGAATATTTACTGACACTACTTTTCTCATGCCGAATTTGAAAGCATTGTACCACTCAGTTCAGCTCATTCTATCTTATCTACAGTCGCGAACCTCAACTATCTGGCAATGTCATCACCCCATTTGTTCATGGACAACTAGCCGAGGACCTGCAGACAATAGCCGATGATAGTCTTTCATTCCTTCAAGAGCTCCGCAAGGCACGAAACCAGGTAGAATCCCATATGATTGTCATTAGTCAAGCTGACAAAGCCAAATAGGATGCTGTCATGCATTCACGCAAGTATGATCTTGGTGAAGCAGTGCTCTTATGACACGAAAACCCTTACAGTTTGGAATTCAATTGGATGGGCCCCTACCTCATTATCAATTGCAACCTTGACAAAGACATCTACAAAATCCGCGCCTTGGATGGAACAACCTATCGCTCTTGGGTGCACACCGATCGCCTAAAACCTGCTAAATCCAATGACTTTCAACAACCATGGTATAATCCCACTCAGGCCTGCGCCCAATGGAATCAAGCTCCCGCTCCTGCTACTTCACCCACTACTTCTACTACTGACAACATTGCTCGAGGACAATCAACAGTTTAAGGGGGGATGATGTCATATCCTTTTTTGGTATTTCCTAAAACGTTCACAGTAACACTTACGTTTTTGGTAATGACGCTTTGATCATCTTCAAGCAAACATTTTCTTTATCGAACAGCTTGGCCAAAAGGCTGAGCATTTAGAACCAAAACACCCTGCCAAGCTGTACTACAAAATTATTATAGATTAACCCAAAAATATATAAATATCCCCTCGATCAAAACGAATAAAGATTATCAATTACAGTATCTATCCTCCAATTCTAGTTTATTTCTTCATCTATCGTCTGTGGAACCAGTATCCGGAATAGATTCAGCAAACTCCGAAAACGACACAAACATGTCAGATCTGTTAGCAGTCCTCTAAATGTTTTGTCTTAATGACTCATGGTTCGTAAATATCAACAACAAAGCTCAGTATGAGTAATAGTCGATATATTATGAATAGATAGCATTGTCATAATAGAATATAAAAAGAAACCCCAAAATATTGAATAAACATCATCATTTATTTTGTTGTCAATCCTCGTCTATTTACTTTTGTCATGGCTGAAGCGGATAATATCCGAAAATGGTAATCAGCTTAGCATCTTGCTAAGTACAATCATTCTTTTATCAAAGTTTTAGCTGCTCAGCCATTATCCTCTTTAAGAACATAGACCGAATAAGCACATATAAATATCTCCTTACTATATAATTGACAAAATAAAGCGTTATCTTTCCTATCCCTAATCCTCTTGTTTCCCATGTCAGTTACGCCGGTTCTTCTTTTGCGCCAATTAGATTTGCTATACCAAAGTTTAGCAAATATAGAAGACAGCGCATTGGCTCGTCCGCAGATCAATGTCTGGAGGAACCTTCGAAAAGGTATGAAGAACCAATGGATGAACGAGGCATACCAAAGGTATTGCCTGGAAAACGGAAGAAATATAGACCAAATCCGTTCAGCATTAAAGTGGTCCGTAATACTTCTTGATTGATTATATTTCGGAATAATAGAAAACTGTGCAGAAAGTTGACAAGAACCTTCCTGAAGATTGTAGACATAAAAATGATCTTGATAGAAAATATAAATATGACCATGTTATGGTAGAATAAAACAATCAACAAATTACAGATTCAAACGAAACTCTAAAAGGAGTACTCAAATCTGACACCCACTCTGGTGATCTTGCCAGTATATCAGATCCGAGTGAAGTACGATACTTTGGTGATCATGCAGTTTATCAGATCCAGTAAATACGACATCTGACGACGACCAAAAAATAAACTCTCGGACGGGGAATTGAACCCCGGTCTCCCGCGTGACAGGCGGGGATACTCACCACTATACTATCCGAGACCCGTTGCGATGTCGAGCTGAAAAACATTCCGGTTCCGCAGACGCGATCACGTGACGTCAGGAATATCCCTCCTGTGCTGCGCTCAGGCAAAAAGCGCAAAGTCCAGCCTCTTCTCCCGCCTCGGCAAAAACGGCGAAATATAATTCCGAGACTTTATATGATTGGTCGACGCTATCCGCGTATCCCATTGGCTCACCGCGATTGCCGCTAGGCTTCGCTCCGCTTCTCACTCACATTGGTCACTGCTTAGCTTCTTCTTTGAAAACTTTTGATTGGTATCGCAAGCAAACCAATGGATACTTCTTTATTATTTTTAGAGCAGATTTCATTCAGTATAAATATCAGTAGTTTAGACGTCTGAATAAAGATAACTTCTCTTCTGCATTCTGATCTGTTTATATCTTTGATCTCTTTATTTTATCTTTGATTCAGCCTTTTTATTTCGCGCATATATCGAACCAATAGGGGCCAGGAGATATATTGCGATCTGACAGCGACTCGTTCCGTTACCTTGGTATTCCCTTCTCTCGCTCTGGCATTGATGTAGATCGTTTGCTTCGGCACTCGTTTCGAAAATCCGGTCAAGCGATGCAGAATTTCCGTCGGATGGGATGTCACCTCTATGGCTTTGGTCTTGGAGTGGCGCTTCGTACCTACAAAATCTTTGTTCGTCCGATTCTTGAATACGGCCTTGGGATTTGTCCCCTTTCGGTACGCCAAGTTAAAGACTTACAAAAGATCCAGGACCAGTGTATGAAACTATGTGTTGGTCGTCAGATCAGCGCTAGGATTAGTACTCATGCGACTGCGTCGCTAGCAGCGTTACCTTCTATGGAATTACGTAGTTTAGCTTTACAGGCCAAATTTGTAATTCGTTCTCAATTTCTCCCCGCTGACACCATGCTGGCACGTCTGCTCCCGCAGCTGCTCTATCCAAACAGTGAAGCGATCATCTATAGGATGCATAGCAATGTGCTGTTCTTGGAATATCAAACACTCCGTGATTCGTCCCCCAATCTGAAGAATGCTCTGAAGAAAGTGGTTCGATCACATCACGAACGGGAAATTGCCAAAAAAGCGGCCCAGTATGTTACTGTGCATCGTGGATTGTGCAAACCTGTCTGGGATCCTATCCTGTTTTTGCCTTGTACCAATATGGAGCGTCACAGACTCATCTGATGGCGGATCCACTGGCTTCCACCAACCCCGTCCATCCCATGCCGATGTGGCTCCGACCAAGCCAACCGTGAACACTTTTTCCACTGTCCTTTGGTAACGCCAACGCTCAAGGTCCTGATGGCACTCTTTCCTCGGCCGGTGTCAACTCCGTTGCACCCCGTTGATTGGGTGTTGAATCATTTACCCCGTTCTGCTCCGTCTGGCTCCTCCCTTTGGTGTGATGTCTGGCCTGTGCTTCTCAAAGTCTTACATGAAATCGATCAATCGACCTCCACCGATGACTTTCAACCCGAACCTCCTCCTGGACATGCGCTGCTTCACAATTGTGATTCTCACGCTCACCCACTCCTTTACTGAGCCCAAAAAAAAAAAAAAAAAAAAAAAACCTCCTGTTCTGTCGATCCGTCGTTTATCTTTGCATCGCCGCTACTGTTACGTTTCATGCCACCACACTTTTTGGATCACCTAAACCTAATTATTTTTATCCCTCCTCTCCTTTGATCATACAAGGCACGCTGACATGCTTTTGTGAATAGCATTGCCACTATTTATTCAATAAAACATTTGAGCTATACTATCCGAGAACGGTTTCTCCACTAAACATCACTTTTTACTGGATCCCAAATTTACCGTTTTTTGCAAATTTCCTCCCATATCTTGCTTAATAAATTGACAACCCCTTCAGAAAATCACGTAGAACCCACCAGTAGCCCTCCAGCCATCGACCCTGCAAGTACCGAGACTTGTACGAGCCTTACGCCTTCGCAACAAGCTTCTAAGCGCAAAGCTACCACTTATATCATTAGAGATATCTCGAAAATGACCGCGCCAGCTACCAAAACCCGCACCCGTACCTCAGCCGTAGCATCGCTCAACAGCCTTGCTACCATAAAATCGTCAGGAATAAAAAAAGGAACCAACCATCGCGAAACCGAAAAAAACCTACAAAAAAAACTTTTATCTCCATCTGAAAAAAATAACCAATGCCAGTCACTCGCTCCCCAATTTTTGGCAAATCTTCAGAGTGATTTCCAAGCCCGATATGAACAGTTGCCCTGCCCCCACTGCAATGAAGTTGGAAAAATTCATGCCACTGGACAAACCAATGTGCAGTATAATCCCCCGGCACCCATTTTTACTTGCATCTGTAAAACCGATTTTTCGCATCATGAGGTTCGCCTTTTATTGAATGCTATTCTTACCCCACCGGGATTTTCTTCACCTGCGGAAATGGAATTTGATTCTATTGCCGATGACTCCGCAACCAACACCGCACCCATTCCCCAAGCCTCTTTGGTCTTCGAGCATCATGATGCCCTGCCCGACTACCTCAAGGTACTCGTCCACAAAGTCACTACGCTTGAGAACCGTGTCGACGAACTTAACGCACTCGTGAAAGAAAATCAACAACTCAAAACGGCCCTTAACCAAGTTACTGACGAAAATCAGAAACTTAAACTTCAGCTTTCTGCGGCGCTTGCTCAACAACCTCAACTGGGCACCATGGCATCAAAATACGCCTTGCAACCTGCCACTGACTCTGGACCGGCCAATCTTGAGAGTGATGATTTCCCAGCCCTTTCCTCTGCTGCCCAAAACCAGCATAACAAAACCTGGGCCGCCCATACTGCTGCACATCGACCTCCTCAAAAAAATTGTAGGCCGATTTACTGCGTCAACCCCAATCCCTCTGCCAAGCAAAGCACGATAGGGATCCGTACCTTCATCCTTCCTGGTCCAACTCATGGATTCCAGTACGTCTACCTTCCTTCCCGCGGCCGCATACCCATTGGCCAGCTCCGCAAAAACCTGCACAAAATTGGAGTGGACAATGTCCGTGTCCTTGATCTGCATTACCCCGCCTGCCAAGTAGTCGCCGCCTTAATTCACAACGATTATGCTACCGATTTCACCGCACTTTTCACCAAACATGGTGTGCACCCTATTGCCGACTTTAATCCCGCTGATCCCAAACACCTTGGCGATCCACAGTTTAAGGACCTCCCCATTACCGAGCGTACCGCCAAAGCCCAAGAATTTTTTTCAGCTCGCATGATCAAAGCCGTCAATGGTATTCGCTTCCCTGTGAAATATGCTGTTGCCCGATTTTTCGCCTCCCAACAATGGATCTCACCAGAGACACTCGCTCAAATCCTTCCTTCGCGCCCCAGCCATTCTACAAATCACACTGCTCCCTTAGTGACAGACCTTTTCTATCCAACAACATCTCCCAGTTCTGCAGAAGCCATGCAAACTGACGACATCCCAGCCAAACCCATTACCTCCAGCACCCCAACCTCAGATAATCAATGACGACCGACCTTACAATTACAATATGGAATGCCAACGGCATTAAAAAACAATTGATTAACTCTATTTTAGATCATACATCCGACTCCACTCTTTTATTTATTACCGAAACCTGGCTACTCACCCCACAATCCTTTCCTACCAACTGGCGACAATTTCACACCTATGGTCAAGCCCACCCATGCACCTATGTTGGCAGCATGGGTATCTCACTTCTCATCAACCCTTCCTCTCCTTTCAAAGACTCTATCGAATTTATGCCCCACGATCCTTCCTCACCATATTACAATTATATGTTATCCTGCCGCCTCGGTACCATCCTTATCCATTGCCTATATCTCCCCCCCTCTATCGACGATCCTTTTGCTCTTGAAATACTCCAATCCCTCACTACCGAATCCGACACTACCATCACTGCGGTGACTTTAACACCCGTCTTGGCCCTCTCCTAGGTGATCATCGCACTACCAGTCGTGGCACATTATTTAATAATGAATGGCTGATCCCACATGGCCTTACCCTATGGAACACTACCCTTGCCTTCGGCCAACCCACTTACTACTGCTTGACGGAACCAGTATCATTGATTGGTTTATCAGCACTACTCCTCTCCTTAATCCCTCTATGCAAATTCGCGATGACCTCTCTCTAGGCTCCGATTATAAGCTTGTCCACCTCACCTTTCAATATGCCAACCAACCCTCTCCTCCTCCTTCCGGCCATCCACGTATCCTGTGGCGCCTTGGTAAATTATCTAATGACTCCGTATGCGAACAATATACCACCGACTTCCAAGCTTCTACCCGACCCCTCCATTCTCTCTTACAACAACATCTCGACTCATCTACACCACCACTCATTGACGATCTCTACACCCAATTATGCCAAAACATTTACACCTCTCTTGACGAGAGCGTCGGTAGAAAACCCCCACCATCATTTAACAACAACCAGTTCTGGACTCCATTTCTTCAAGCCACCATTGACCATCGGGAACATTGCTACAAAAAATGGTGACGTGCCCGAGGCCTGAATAAAATTACCTGGTGGATCCGCCACCAAGAAGCACAAGCCAAAGTCCATAAAGCCGTTCTCCAGCATCGACGCCAAACCTGGAAAGAATTTTGTGAACGCCTTGCCTCCCAAGATTTTTCCAAAACCACTGCCACCATTAAAAAACTAAAAAAAAATCGCCACCTCTCTCCTTCCTTTGTCCACCCACTTGGGCCACAAGCTGCCGCTGACACCCTTGCCTCTCATTTTGACTCTGTTCTTGCCGGTAACCTCCTGCCCCACACTCCTTCCAACAATTCCGACATCTCCCCCACGTCCCTACCTTTTTCCGATCCCTGTCCATTCCTTCAGAATACTGTCACCGAAGTCCTCTCATCACTTCCTCGCCGCAAAGCTCCTGGTGTAGACCATCTACGCAGTGAGATGCTTCAGCCCATCCTCCCCACCTTAACCCCACTCTTATACACCATTTTCCAACTCCGTTGGAAATGGGGGACCACACCGCAAGCATGGCGAATAGCCCAGGTTATCCCAATCCATAAAAAAGGCGATGTTACTGATCCCGCCAATTTCCGCCCAATCAGCCTAACCTCAATTCTCCGCAAGGCTTTTGAAGTCTGTCTCAAAATCCCACTTGAGGATACCGCACCTCCGCTAGATCCTGCGCAAGGTGGTTTCCGGGCATTTCGAGGTGCCCTTGATCAAGCTCTCGCCCTGCACGAATTATGCCGTTTCCATCAACAGTCCTTTGGTAGCCCTCCGGTTCTGGCATTTTTAGATATTAAGTCTGCCTACGATACCGTCGATCGCACCATCATCTGGAACGAACTTGCCCCCACCATTCAACCCGCCCTCCTTCATATTCTCCAGTCTCTTTTTGACAATGTCAGCATCGAAATCCTATTCTCAGGATACACCTCCCGTCGTTTTTCACCCACTACTGGCGTCCTACAAGGCTCAGTACTCTCTCCATTCCTTTACTCTATTTACATTAATATCCTTCCCGGCCTTCTCCGCGAAGCCGAATCCCAATTCTGGGACTCTATCTATTCCGACTTCCTTCCACCAACCCCCCTTACTGTCAATGGCCTTCACATCAACTGTCTTCTCTATGCTGATGATGTTGTACTCATCGGATCATGGGAGACTATGCCTATTCTCTTAGACACCTGCGAACGCCACAGCATACAACTCGGCTACCGCTGGAGTCCTCCAAAATGCGCCATCCTCTCATCCAATATACCCTCATTTCACCCATCCCTCCGCCTCTATGGCCATGACCTTCCATTCCTTAACTCGTTCCGCTACCTTGGCGTCCCATTTAATACCGCCGGTCAAATGGACACTGCTAAATTAATCGCTCACAACACTGCCTCTGCCCTCTCTGCCATGCGAGTCCTGTACTCTATTGGTATGAATCCTATGGGCTTCTCCAAACTCCTCGCCAGCCGCCTGTACCAACAGTTTATCCGCCCCCGTTTTGAATATGGCCTCGCCATCAACAAGTTTACCGCCAAAGAAATCAAGTTGCTTGAGAGAGCCCAAGACACATGTCTACGCATGTTCTACAGTGCTCATAGAACCTTCTCCACCACTGTCATTCGCCACCTCACCCATCTTCCCTCCATGTCCGAACGCGTGGCCATCCTTCAAGCCAAATTCCTATATCGCACACACTCCTTACCCGATGATACCTTCCTCACACAACTCATTCCACTCCTTCAAAGATCTCGCACCAGTCAATGGCAAACCCTTCACCGTACTGCTCTCTAGATTACCCTCCCTCAACCCGCTTCAGACATCTCCCACTCTGACTTTAATACAGCCATCAAGACTTTCCGCACCAACACCCACCAACAACTCCTCACCGCCCGTCATTCGATTCGTATCAATGCTTGCCGTCCCACTCTCGGGTTAGACCCAATTATGTGGCTTCCCATGACCAATAGAGAACGCAGCCGCTTCATTCGATGGCGAATTGGTTTCCTACCCAGAAAGCCAGTGCCATGTACCCGTTGCCGCCTAGACCACACCAGCTCTCGCCATTTGATGGAATGCCTACATGTCCACTCACGCCTCGGTATTCCCAGCACCAACGATCCCATCTCATACCTTTTAAATCGTCTCCCCACTCATCCACTTCGCTCCTCTATCAACGCCGACATTGGAACCGTAACTGGCCAATTTTGTGCCGTATCCTCTATGAGATCGACCAGCTATGCCATCCTTCTGAGGACTTTTCAGCCAGCTTTGATCCAGACCCCGGCCGCACTCTTCTCCTCTGGTTAACACCTACTCCACCTTCCACTCTTGTGACGTTGACTTCACCAACAGTCTCCTGATAGCACTCTAGATCTCTTTATTTTATTTTTTCTTCATTATTCTTCTCGCTCCACCTTTTTCCCTTACGCCCATTGAGGATTTTTTCATACCTTAAACTTTTCTGGAACTTGCTAGAGCATGAAACAGTCTATAGATCGATCTGCTCCCCCTGCATTCAAATAAACATTTTCGTCTATACTATCCGAGAGAGACAACGTGTCGAGCTGAAAAACACTCCAGTTCCGCAGGCACGATCACATGACGTCAGGAATATCCCTCCTGTGCTGCGCTCAGGCAAAAAGCGCAAAGTCCAGCCTCTTCTTCCACCTCGGCAGAAACGGAGAAATGTAATTCCGGGACTCTATCTGATTGGTCGACGCTATCTGCACATCCCATTGGCTCACCGTTAATTGCCGCTAGGCTTCGCTCTGCTCCTTGTTTGCATTGGTCACTGCTTAGCTTCTTTGTTAAAAACTTTTAATTGGTATTGCAAGCAAACCAATAGATACTTCTTTATTATTTTTAGAATAGATCTCTCTCAATATAAATATCCATAGTTTAGATGTCTGAATAAAAAAAATTTCTCTTCTGCATTCTGATCTGTTTATATCTTTGATCTCTTTATTTTATCTTTGATTCAGTCTTTTTATTTCGCGCATATATCGAACCAATAGGGCCAGGAGATATATCGCGATCTGACATTGGTAGCGGCTGAATAGTAACGATCCGGTTTATCTGCAAGAATTATTATTTTTTGAAGTCTCTGTTATCTCTGAAAATACGAATTATTTTTTTTTTAACGACCGAACATGTCTCAAGACGAGAATATGCAAGACGCTAGACTGTCTCAAGAACAGTTGTCTATGGCAACAATTGTTGCTGCGGCCGTGAAGGAGGCCCTCAAGGCTAAGACCTCCACCCCGAAATTCCGTGTCCGTGAACCTGATACCTACTCTGGTGAACGTTCCGCATCCATCATTGATGGATGGATCCGCTCTGTTGAACGCTATGGTGACACCCTGAAGTTGGACATGACTGAGAAAGTCACCTATGCGTTGACGCTCCTGCGTGATCGTGCTGATGTTTGGTGCCGAAGACTCGAGAAAGACGACTTGGTCCCTGCCACTTGGGAAACGTTCAAGAGAGAATTGATCAGCGAATTCTGTCCCAGTCACTCCAACCGTGCTGCCCGTGATCGTTTGGCGAACCTTCGTCAGACTGGATCGGTGGAAAAATACGTTGATGATTTCCACGATGTCCTTTTGGAAGTGGTTGCTGTGTCCGACGATGAAGCTCTCGATCGTTTTACTCATGGCCTACAAGAAGACACCCGTATCCATGTGATTACCCGCGATCCTCAGTCTTTCGACCAAGCTGTCCGCTTTGCTTTGGCCTTCGAAAGTGGCAAACGAGTTGGTGCTCCTTCTGTGGTCCGCCCCAAGCTTCCCCAGCAAGCTGATATGATGGACCTTGACTTCATAGGGAGAAAACCGCGTCCCGGTTACCGCAAGCCCGAGTATCATAAGAGAGACCAGGACGATAATTGTTGGTTTTGCCACAAACCCGGCCATGTAAAGCACTACTGCAAGATCCGACTGGCGGAAATCAAAAAGATGGACGATGCCCGCCGAGTTTTTGAAGAGCACAACTGAAAAGAAGGAGGGTCAGTTGTGCGCTATAGAAGAAAATTCCTCCTTATCACAAGAACCTGTTGTTAAAATTGAAACCAATAAAGACGATGTTACCGCCTACTCCGAAGTCCCTACAGCTGTTGACCATGAGGATAATTCCTACCTGCGCCATCTGTACACGACCACTGAAACTGAACTGCCTTTGTACCCTGTTACGATTCAAGGTCATACCTTCCTCGCAATGATAGATAGTGGTGCCAGCGATAACTACTGTACGTGTCCTCCCGCATGGCCCAATATGCGACGAAAATTGAAGAAACTCCAACACGCCTGATTGAAACTGCTGGCGGTGACATCAAGACCGTTGACCAGAAAGCCACACTAGATATTGATCTGAATGGTTATCGAAGCTGCTTGAGTGTCAACATTTTCGATACAAAATTCGACCTGATCTTGGGACGAACCTGGTTGCACACCATGGGACCCGAACCAAATTGGCGCACTGATGTCTGGTGTATCCGCGAACATGGTCAAGAATTTTTCCTCACTCCGCAACGTGGCGCTTCCTCGAGACCGCATTTGAATTACCTAATCTCTGCCAAACAAGTTGAACGAGATCTACGCTGCCAACAAGCTGACTGTTTCCTGATTCATTTCAAGGCTCCTGACAATGTAGCACAAAATCCGGGCACCTTTTGGCAGAAGATAGTCAAACAATTTGACGATGTGTTCCAAGATGGACTACCTGGCCTCCCTCCTGATCGCTCGGTCCAGCATGTAATCGGTACTGGTGATGCAAGCCTGGTCAACCGTGCCCCATACAAGATGAGTCCTGCTGAACTCGACGAATTGAAACGACAACTAAAAGAGCTCCTCGACCTCGGTCTCATTCGCCCAAGTGCCTCACCCTGGGGTGCCCCGGTGTTGTTCGTAAAAAAGAAGGATGGTTCGATGAGAATGTGCATTGATTACCGCGCGCTCAATAAAGTCACCGTTCGCAACAAGCATCCTTTGCCCCGCATCGATGAATGTTTGGAACGACTACAAGGCGCGACCCACTTCACCAGCCTTGATCTCAAAAGTGGATATCATCAAGTCAGAATCTCCCCTGAAGATGTACCAAAAACTGCTTTTAATATGCGTTACGGTCAAAACGAATTTTTAGTTCTACCATTTGGTTTAACGAATGCTCCGCCTACCTTCCAACAGCTCATGAACGAGGTCCTTGGTGATTGTTTGGATAACTTCGCACTGGTATACCTTGATGACATCCTGATTTTCAGCAAGTCCGAAGATGACCACAAGGAGCATGTATGACACGTTTTAGAACGTCTACGGAAAGCCAAGTTGATCGCCAACTTAAAGAAATGCGAATTCAATCGACGTGAATTGACCTTTCTGGGTTTCAAGATTTCTGCCGATGGTATTCTTCCCGCCGACGACAAGGTGAAAGCGATCAAGGACTGGCCAGTACCAACGAACGTGCAAGAGGTTCGCAGTTTCATGGGCTTAGCCCAACATTACCGACGCTTTATCCCAGGATTTGCAAGTCTCGCTGCCCCAATTACGGATTTGACCCAAGGCATTGGACCAAAAAAGCGACCCATTGTTTGGAATGAAAAATGTGAAACCAGTTTCAAAGCTATCAAGGAAAAACTCTGTTCGGCTCCTCTTTTGCAAGGCCCCAATATGGATCGACCATATATTATCAAAACCGATGCCTCTGATTTCGGTGTAGGCACAGTCCTATTACAGCCTGACGACAATGGTCTTTTGCATCCACTGGCCTTCGAGTCCAAGAAATTTTCAAAAGCCAAACGTGCCTACCCCGCTCAAGAACGAGAACTCCTGGGAA